CCTGTGCATGAAATTTGTGCATGGGGGGAGGGGTGCCTCAACCTGACCTGCACCCCCTCCAATCTGGAAGCTCTCGGGATGGCCAACTGCCAGTTTAGGCCCAACCCCAATCGGACATCCCTCTCACAATCCCTCACCTCTGGCTCCTAACCACTCACTTGCCTGCCTGCCCTAATTACTCTGTATGCCTGCTTGATCCCCCTAACTGCCCTGCCCTGTCTGCCTGAACCCCTTAACTTCCCTGCCCTGCTGGCCATATCCCCCTAATTGCCCTCCTCTCTGGCCCGATCCCCTTAACTGCCTTCCCCTGCCAGCTTGATCTCCCCCATTAACTTTATTTTTTTAATCTTACCCCTTCACACACAATTGTATTTGACTTCTTTATTGGCTTCTCCTTGTCACACATTTTTTTCTCTCTCCTTTATGTAACACTTTTTCCTACTTATTCATCATTCATAAACTTTTCTTTCCTCCTTATTTCCTACTTCTGTTCCATCATCCTTCTTCTCATCTTTGTTCTACCCTTCTTTCCTTCCCACATTCTTTCTTTCCTTTATCTTTACCTCTCCCTCCCTCCCCTTTTCCTTTCTACCCACCTTAATTTTTTTCTTCACGTCCTCCTTCAGACCGGCTTTGCTCCCTCCCCCATTTCTTCCTTCTTCCCATTTTCCTTTTAAGCTCTACCAGCTCCCCTGTAAAACTTTTCTTCCCTCCCCCTTTCTCTCTCATCCTACCTTTCCCATAGATTTTTCTCTACTTACTTCCACTGTTATAATATCTATCTATCTGCCTAATTATTTACTATCATTTATCTATTTTCTTTTCTGAATCCTACTTTTAAAATCTGTCCCCCGTACATGACTATACTTGATTTTCATTATAGTTTCTACAGTTTACTCACACGTCCTCTTTCCTTCTTTAACTCTTCTCTCTACTGACTCCTTTTAACTCTGCTCTCTCCTTCCTTCCCTTCTTAAAGCTTCTGCTGAGGGCAGGGCACATTAACTCCCAGCTCAGAGCTCGCCACCCGCCTCCCTGCCACTGTCCTGCTCCCATTCCCTGCTGAGAAGCAGAAGTGCCTCTGCCCAGAGGGCCTTGGATCATCCTCCACTCTGTCCCAGACCCATGGGCGTCTCCCAGCCAATGATCGCCACTACCCTCCTCCTGTGCCTGGGCAGGGCTCCCTGCTCCTTGCTGTCTGCACCCCACCCTTCACTGGGTGCACCTACTCCGCACCCTCCTTCCTCCCCCCCCCACGGTAACCACCCCCTTCCAAATGCAGTTTCCTTCCCCTCCTATTGTATCCTACCCTTCCCCAGGCTTGCAGCTGCCTGCTGATCCAGTCATGACCCATGATGCTGTAATGGACAAATTTGCATATTTCCCTATTATTAGATTAGATTGTTATATGTGACAATTGAACCTAATAATGATGAACCCATCCTACCTAATAACCATCACTCCACTACACCCACCAGCCACGCCTACCAGCCAATTAGAGCAATATGCAAATTAACCCAACAAGGATGGCAGTTAATTTGCATACGTGGAGGGAGGGAGGAATGAACTGAAGACAGCATAAAAGGAAGAGAGAGGGAAAGTGGAAAACAAAGTGGCTGCCGCCGCTGGAGGGAAAGCACTGGCAGCCTGTGCAGGGCGGGGTGGGGTGCGGGAGGCGCACAGTGGCCCTGAGGCAGGAGGCCTAGGGGGACAGCGGGCATGGCGGGTCGGATGGGCGCTGCCAGGGAGGCAGCTGCGGCAGTAGGTGCAGCGAGGCCCACATGCGAGGTGAGGCGCACAACGCGGTGGTGGCAGCACGCAGGGCCGCGGAGATGGTGACAGTGGCGGCCGCAGGCACGGTGGGGAGGGACAGGGCAGGCGGAGCCAGCGGGAGAGGCAGGGAGGTGAGAGAGGTGGCAGTGGCGGGAGGGAAGCCCACCAGAAGTCTTGCAGAAATCTTTCTGCAACAGGTCACTAGTTTCCAATAAAAAAGATTATGTTTGCTATAAGTGTCATACATGTATACATATAAACAAGAGTGTGCATTCCAGAACTTGACTTCCCATAGGAACTTTCTGAGGGGGTGACTGAGTTAACAAGGTGCCTTTTCTTATATAAGTGTCAAAAATTGAGTGGTAAACTACTGCATTTTTCATTTTCAGATGCCCAGGAAAGGTATAGAGAGAAGGGACTTGTTTCCTTTAAAATTGCAATTACAGTTATAGTTTTCAATCATGGAAAAGTATATATTAGCAAGACTTTTATGATTGGCTTGGGGAAATAAATTCTGAATCCCAACCATCAAGTTAAAAATAAAACTTCTTGCCCAGGTGTGGATCAATAGTTGAGCATTGACCTAGACCAGGAGGTTATGGTTGGATTCCTGGTTGGAGCATGTGCTGGGGTTGTGGGCTCGATCCCGAGTAAGGGGCGAGCAGGAGGCAGTGGATCAATGTCTTGCTCTCATTGATGTTTCTATCTTTCTATCACTTTTGCTTCCTTTCTTTCTAAAAATCAATAAAAACATATTTAAAAAATGAAAATAATTCGTTTTCCATTTTGGGGCATTTCAGTTTGTTTATAAGTCAGAAAGAGTTCCTTTTATATCAAGATAAATAAGTTGATTAATATGTTTTAGGAAGATTTTAAACAAGAAACTTACAGGACTCTAATCAATAAATTAAAATCCCTATTTTAGTAGGGTTTTTTTGAATATCCAACACTATGTTAATTGATTACCTTAATAGTTACAACATAAGTAGAAGCTTTGCTATCTTCAACTCACATCATGTATTATACTTCATTTTTATGACAACTAGAGCCAGGTGGTTTAATGGAAAGTGTAAGCTAAGAGACCTGATCGCACGCCTGTAAACTGCCTTGCTCACAAACATAAATGAGATGGCAGTTTGCCACAACTTTCCAATTTGGTCCACATAATACTTCTATTTTCCAAGTAACTTCCCCTTCAATTAAGTCTACTGCTTTACTTACATAGGATATAAATCCCTTGTCAGTTATCTATTTGTTAGTGTTTGTGATTAAAGATATTAACCATGTTCATAAGGAATATTCTTTAAAATGTGTGATTTGATTATGATTCCTTTTATCCAAGGAATATAGGTTATATAAATTCTGAACAATTTTCTTTCCAGGTAGCAATAAAACTTTTATCAGTGTGGTTCAGAATCATTGAGCCTAGAAATACCAAGATTCAATGTTCTAAGACAGTCATTCCTATTATATTTTTGATTCAATAATGTTAACCCAAAACATTCTCTCTGGTTCTAGCTTCAGGGTCATGTGTAGCCAGGGATGGGGAGAAGGTATCAGCTACTGAGTTGGCTTGCCTGTTACCAGCCTTGAATCTCTAGAGTTTCAATGTCCATTATGATTGCCTTAGACACATGTGACCAGTGAGCACTTGAAATATGGTTAGTCCAAATGAAGATGTGCTGTCAATGTGAAATCACACCCGACTTTGACATTTTTGTATAAAATAGAGAATGCAAAAGATGTCAATAAGTTTTACATTGAATGCACATTGAAATGATAATATTTTAAGATAATTAGTAGCTTAAGAAAAATAGATTAATTTCACCTGTTTATTTTTTCTTTTTTAATGTGGATTCTAGACAACTTAAAATTACATGAGCGGCACATGCTACTATGAGGCAGGAGGGAACCTCTGCTGGGTATTGCTAAGGAGCTGAAAGCAACTGAAGGGAGCAAAATGGAGTCCCACCTCAGCTCAAGGGCAGTTACTTGGAGCCAGAGAAAGCATAGCTGTCCCTCTGTTTAGGTTTTCATCTCTCAAATTCTTTTGAGGCTAGTTAAATGGGACTTCACTGAATATAGATTTCTAAACTGAGTTTGTCCATCCCAGTACCCAAAGATTAAGTGCCAACTGTGATCTTCATTGCTACAATGGCTAATGTTTTATAGCAGTGGTCACCAAACTCATTAGTCATCAGAGCCAAATATCAACAGTACAACAATTAAAATTTCTTTTGAGAGCCAACATTTTTAAACTTAAACTTCTAACGCCACTTCTTCAAAATAGACACACGCAGGCCGTGGTATTTTGTGGAAGAGCCACACTCAAGGGGCCAAAGAACGCATGTGGCTCGCCAGCCGCAGTTTGCCGACTATGGTTCTATAGTTCTGGGTACAAGGCTTGCTTTTATGATCATCCATTTCATCCTCTCACCAGCCAGGTGAGGCAGGTATTATTTCTATCTCTGATGAACAGATATGGACTTGAGACTCTGAGACATTAATTTGCTCAAGGTCACACATCTACAGGTTGACCTGGACAGTAGGATACTCCAATTCTCGGCCCTTAGCCACAAAGCAGTGTCATCCTCAAAGACAGAATCTCTTCTTTACGCTTTCTTAACACATGAATGCCTCTCCATCAGATAACAACAGTGTCAGTCTTTTCTCTACAAATAGATGTTGTTCAGTAATGTAACAGCTAAGATTTAAAAATGTTTACTGTGTCAGAAATTGGGGACCTAGTGTTAGGTCCTGAATGACCCAACTTCTTGTTTTTCCCTAAAGTTGCCCTTAAAAGCATACCATAGTTCAGTCTATTTTAAAATGTAGGTAGCTTAATTCCAATGAAATAAATGTGAAGTACCTACTATGTGCCAAACACATTGCCAAGTACTGGGGACACAGAGATAAAGATGATAAATTCCCAAATTCACAAATGGTTCTGGTCTAGGGGACCTAAAAGCACCTTCCTGCAGCAGTGTTGAGGGTGTGTGTTGTGGGAATGAAGGAGCAGCACATTACACAATTTCCAGTTCAGGGTGGAGCTATAGTATTCAAGATGGAGGGAGTGCTTGAGCCATCTTTACGTACCTCCAACTGGTTTCCTGGGGTTTGATTTATATTGTATGAAGGCCATTGTTATTAATGACAGCAGAGGTCAGTGTAAGTGTCTGAGTCTTTTGAGTAGTTGAGAATGCTGATTCCATTTGTCTGGTTTTCAGGTACCAGCAAGGTCAACCTCGTGAAGATCCCGTCCACAGCCTCCAGCCCAAGAGACACAGCTCTGGCTGCTGTGATCTGCAGTGCCTTGGCTACTGTCCTGCTGGCTCTGCTCATTCTCTGCATCATCTATTGTAAGAGACAATTTATGGAGAAAAAACCCAGCTGTAAGTTTTGAGCTTTTTCTATTTCTCAGCATTGGTGAAGTGCAATTATCATCACTGTCGTTTTTGTGTTCCACAAGAGACTTGAGTAAGATGAGAATCAAGGAGCTACTTAAGGGGCAGAGAGCACATGAAAAAAAATCTCACAGTCTTTTGTTCCAAAGAGGCATTGAGGGAGCAGACTGATGGGTGGCAGGGATGTCCCTGTGCCACTAGGCAAAATTAAAAATTGCTCTAAGTGCTGGCAAGATAAGTACTCTCCATTTTGAGCTTTCTTAACAAATTATTTAATATTTGTGCCTTTGTGTAAGAAGAAATATTTTAAAATGTGAATGATAGCCTTTTTAAAAAAAAAAAATACAAATGCTAAGATAGTACTCGTCTGTAATATAATGTGAAGGAAGTCCTTTAAAGAGGAAATTGTCTTTACTGACAGAATTCTCACCCCCTCCTTTAGGGTCTCTGAGAGCCCAGGACATTCAGTACAATGGTTCTGAACTGTCCTGTTTTGACAGACCTCAGCTCAATAACTCTGCTCCCAGAGCCTGCTGTCAGTGCCACCGGGACTTAGCCCAGACCTGCGGTAAGTCAGACAGTTATGAATCCTTTAAGGAAACCAGATAAATGACACTGAAGCTGCAAGGAACTGTTCTGTTCCAGTTTGTCCCAAGGATAGGTTGCTCTGCTTGGTTTTTACTTAAAGCTAATCTTGTTAAATAGTTATTCTCTACAGTTATTCAAATGTTTGGTGTATATTGTATCACTTAAATATTAAGAAGAAAATATGGATCAAAATTCTAAAAGTTTTCAGCAATTTTGAACAAACGTGTATTTGTTGTTTTGAGTCATTTTATCTAAAACACTATCAACTTTTTGTAGAAGAGGATTTTGTATCCCTTCCTTTCTACTGGATTCACACCTAAAGTTCAAGTATTCACCTTAAGGTCTTGGATTTCTTCAGGAAGATGGAGGAAAAAAGCTCTATGACAGGATTTTCCACAAACCATATTGTCTGATAAGTTATTGACAGAAATGAAAGTTTAGGGAAGTAATTCAAATGGGAATTGGTTTCTGATGTGGACAGAAAGTGCAAAGGTAGTGCCAACTTGCCAACTTTCTTTACCAGTTATTTAAAATCACTAACTCAAGGTTTCTACACTTATACTCACCACTCTTATCCCCATTATAGTGACCTCATCTCCTCTGCAGAGTAAAATTTTATGTGGCCAACAACCCTTTCTAGAAACCTGCCCTCGCTGTTAGCCTCCCTCCTCTCCTCACTTCCCAATTCTCTTAGCACCTTTGAAGCAATACTGATATCACCCTTTGTCTCATTCTTTAAGCGAAATGTATCCCAATGAGATGGATTATTCTCTTGGCACTGTTCAATCTTTCTTTTCAAGAAATTGCAGGATTGAGTTTTTCGATCTACCGTGTTTCCCCTAAATAAGACATCCTCCTAAAATAAGACCTAGCACATGGAAAAATAAGACATCCCCTGAAAATAAGACCTAGCACAACTTTGGGAGAAAAAATTAATATAAGACACTGTCTTATTTTCGGGGAAACAGGGTAATATCTCATATGTGGAATAAGGAGTTTACAACATAATTCTTTTTCTACTGATCATGACTATATTTTAGGAATATATTTAAGAATGGAATGTAAGACTGTGTTATGTAGGGATCTATTTTTGTCTCTGCCTACACTGATGATAGACTCTTAGACAGCTACCAATAGCTACTAGATCCTCAGAATGCCCCAAGTATTGTTTCCTAGATACTGTACCATGACATTGACACAGAATCAGAGTGAGGGATAATTTCTTAAGATAGAAATTCAAATTGTAATTGTAATAAAATACAGCATTGTATAAACTCTGTCTCACCTGAACTTCTGTATGAAAAGGAAAATTAAATATATAGATAGCCTTGTTTTATGTCCTCTTAGAATGCTGAGCTTAATACCCCCATGCTAATGCCTAGTTTTTCATTTAAATTGCTTCCTCCTTATTAATGTGCCTTTTCTCTTTTAACTTTTTATTTTAACACTAGGGGCCCAGTGCACAAATTCATGCATCTTGAAAGGAACTGCAGGCTGCAAGGCTGCAATAGGCACAGGGGTGGATCTTGGCCCATCCTCCGTGACCCTGCCTGGCCCCTCCTGCCTCGGCCCCACATCCTCTGTCTGCTGGCAGCCCCACTCCCACCCCTGCCACTCGCAAGCGCTGACAATGCAGAACCACTGGGGCTGTCGCCAGCAGCGGGTGTGAGTGGTGGTTGCTGCCCTGATCACCTCTCAGGAGCAGGGAGAGGTGAAGAAGCCCTCAGGGTGATCAGGGCTGGCAGCTGCTGCTCACACCCACTGATGATACTGAGTGATCTGGACTGGCACTGGGCTCCGGCAGCAGGTGTGAGCAGTGGCTCTGGCACTAGCTGTGGATGTGAGTGGGGCTGGCACTGGCAATGGGTACAAATGGCAACTCGGGTGCTGGCAGTGGGTGTGATTACTGGCAGTGGGTGTGATTACTGGGTGTGATTACGGTGCACGAGAGCAAAGAATTTTCAAGTAACCATCAGAGGCTCACCCCAATGACAGCAACGAGTGCCTTGGTCTAGCACTGCTGTTCACCTGCTCCACCATTCTGCCTTGGCCAAGGCAGAATGGTGGAGCAGGTGGTCATAGGGACCACCTGGTGGTCAAAGGGACCAATTTGTTCAGTTGTTCCACCATTTGGTATATTTGCATATTAGCCTTTATATAGGATTATATAGAACTAGAGGTTCAGTGCACAATTATATAGGATTATATAGGATTATATAGAACTAGAGGTTCTTATATATTATATAGGATAATCCTATATATTATATAGGATTATATAGAACTAGAGGTTCAGTGCACAATTTGTGCACAAGTGGGGTCCCTTGGGGTGGTCTATGCAAATCAGGCCCCAGCCTCGCAGCTCTGCAGCCCTGCTTGGCACCCCACCATATATATGTGTGTGTGTGTGTGTGTGTGTGTGTGTGTGTGTGTGTGTATAGACTCACACACACTCACACACACACTAATAAAAGAGAAAAATGCTAATTGACCGTACATCTCTATGCCCACAGCCAATCAGAGCGAGTATGCAAATTAACCCGACAAAGATGACAATTAATTTGCATACGCTGAGGGAGGGAGGAGTGAAGACTGAAGACAGCATAGAAGGAAGAGGGAGGGAAAGTGGAAAGCAAGGTAGCAGCTGGAGGGAAAGTGCAGCTGCAGCGGCGGGTTGGGCAGGCAGGGCGGGGCACGCAGCAGCGGCAGCAGCGGCTTGTGCCACCTGCATGCCCAGTCTCACTAGCCTGCCCTGTCCACAACCACCACCGCTGCCACCGCAGCAGAAGAGGTGGGGGGCGGGAGGGGAGCATTGCAGGGAATCTTCCTGCAATGGCCCCTAATATATATATTCGTACATGTTTTGTATATTTTGCATATATGCACACATTTTTACATGTGTATATATACACATTTTTTTTTCACTTGCCATTTAAAAATTATCTTCAGATATGATGTCCCTTTACCCCTTATTAGTTTGGTGTTTGTTTTCTAAGAACAAGATTAGTCTCTTTCATAAAGCATGATTATTAAATCAGGAAAGTAACATTGAATCTATTGCTATTATATAATACACAGAATATATTCAGATTTTCTTAATTATCTCAATAATGTCCTGAGTAGCAAAATAAAACCCAGATAACACTTATTTACTTGTTCTGTCTCTTTACTCTCATTTAATCTGGAATATTTCTTTAATCTTTGTGTTTTATGACAATATTTTTGACAAACACAGGCGAATAATTTTGTAGAATGATCCTCAGTTTGGGTTTTCTGATTTTTTTTTCTTTTAGATTAGATTCAGAAATACCACAGAAGTGATGTTGTGTATTTCTGAGTGCCCCATATCAGGAGGTACATCTGTCTAATTTCTGGTCAGATTAACTAGGGTCACTTGGTTAAGGTGGTGTATGCAAGCTTTCTCTGCTGCAAAAATAATCATTGTTCCTGGTAATTAATGGAGCTTTGTCAGAGGTTATTTGAGATTATGTAAACATCCTATTGCTTCCAAACTTTGGCCCAGTACTTTAGCATCCTCTGATGATTCTTACCTAAGTCAGTCATCAGTATAATGGTTAACAATTGCTGGTTTTCTAATTGCATCATTCTTTCTACATTTATTAGTTGGCTTACTATGGTCAGAAAGAATGTCCCCTTCTTTCCATTTATTTACTTTAATTACTGTGAACTAATGGACCTAATTCAATGGGTTACAACCCTTTGCAATCATTTATTTTGATGCTCAAATTTTCCTAGATTTGGCAAGTGGAAGTCCCCTTAGCTGTTTTATGCTCATTTTATACTTTCACTGATTGAGCCCTTGAACCAGCCTTTTCTATACGGAATGGGAGTGCCTTTTGCTTTCAAATAATTTTGAGAAATTCCACAGTGAGCGTGACACATTTGTTGAGTTAATTGGTAGGGAATCCAAGTGAGTTGCTCATGGTCATAATAACACCTATTCAGACAGCACAAGTTTTGGCCTGTTTGAGAGAGATTCAGATGAAAATAAGTTGGGTGTCCATCCTGCTTAACACTGGTTTTCAATTGCATCTCAATATATTTCCAAAAGGGAAATATTAGTTTCATATTATTCTCCTGTTTATAAAAGTAAAGAGATGATTCTCATGTTAAATTTGAATATACATAAACATATATGTACATGTACACATATAATTACTTCAAGCCTTTTTCTCTACATATATATGTGTGTCTTTGTATTTGCCTGGATGCTTTAGTATGTTTGTGGTTTTAAAAATTTAGAATTATATGTGTGTATACATAGAGAGAAATCTAGCTGTTCATCAAATTGATAGTGTTTATTTCTAGTTTATAGGGCTAAGGAAGATTTATTTTTAAGCGTATCTAGTCTCTCTTTATATCTAAATTTTTTCTTCAATAAATTTAAGTGTACAGTTTAGTAGATTAACTACATGCACATTATTGTGCAACCATCACCACCATCTATTTTTTAGAACTTCTCCATTTTTCCAAATTGAATCTCTGTACCCATTATATACTAACTTCCCATTTTTCCTTCTCCAGCACCTGGCAATCACCATTATACTTTATATCTCTACTAAAGGCCTAGTGCATGAAAATTTATGCACTGGAGCAGGGGTCCCTCAGCCCGACCTGCCCTCTCTCAGGGTCCAGGAGCCCTCAGGGACAGGAGGTGACCTGGTGATCAGGGGAAGGTGATGCCCCCATCACATCTCTGCTGCTGCCACTGCTGGCAGCACAAGCCTCAGCTGGCCCTGGTTACTTGGGGAACTCTGAAGGCAGGCACACTAGCAGCTGGACACCTGCCACCCCATTGGGGCTGAGGGGACTGGGTGCTGCTATCTGTGTCTGTGAGTGTCACCATCTTTGAGGGAGTGGTTGTCAATCAGCATATTCTCTCCTTATTGGCTGTGGGCACCACCATCTTTGTGATGCCAGGAGGGTCAATTAGCATATTTCCTCTTTATTAGCTAGGATGATTTTGACCACTCTAGGTATAGTGTATAAATAGTTCATCATTTTTATTAAAAGATAAAAACAGAGAAAAAAATTAAGACTCATATTCTCTTTCCCCAAAAAGTTACCCAAAGGAGAATAGTTAGTTTCAAGAACAATGTTGAACTGGTATGAAAGAGAATATTCCCAGGAAAGGTATTATGCTTCATAACTCTGCTGTCTTTCCTAGGGCCTGTTCATTTGATCCCATCCTTGTGCTGTGATGACTCCTGCAGCATCGACCAGGTGACTCTTGCTTGCAGGGTGCATTCCCAGGCCACACTTCAGGAGAGGTAACTGGGTATTTTTTAAGCAATATAATTTCATAATCCTTGTGCAAATATGCTTTACATTCATTTACCAATTTTCATTTGAAAAATTTAAAAATATTTTATGGGTCATCACTTTTTAATATTAATGCCATTCTGGTTATTGGAGGGGGCATGTGTTTGGCAAGAATTAGTTCACTCTCTCAAGGTTACTAATATCCAATACAACATTTTTTATATTTTACCATCAATTTTATTGTTTTATTTTGTTTTTATTGATTTCAGAGAAAAAGGGAGAGGGAGAGAGAGATAGAAACATCAATGATGAGAGAAAATCATTTATCGGTTGCCTCCTGCATATCCCCTACTGGGTATCGAGCCCACAAATCCTGGCATGTACCCTTGACTGGAATCAAACCTGGGACCCTTCAGGCTACAGGCTGAGCAAAACCAGCTAGGACCTCTCAATTTTATTTTTGTCTTATATTTATTATTTATGACACTTCTGCCATCTGCAAGTAATTTTTAACATGTCATGTACTCATAGAATTTTAGAACAGCCTTCAAACTCAATTAAAACCCAAGAAACTGCATGTTTTAGACATTGTATTACATATAACTGCATTGGTTAAAACTAAGTATATTAAATTTTAAAGTAATTGGAGGAATTAAGCTTATTGTATTAAAGCAAGTTTATAACAATTGGAATTCTGATAATAAATTGCTATTTCATTAGCAAACTTGGAAGTATTATTGGAATGTTGTGTTGTAGTCATGTATTTTCTCCCTATAGAACACTTAAAAGCCTTTTGAACATGTGTTCAGAAATGCAGGTCCGGTGGAAGAGACCATGCCATCTTTCTTCGGGTCCCTTTCTCAGTCCATCTGTGGCGAGTTTTCAGATGCCTGGCCTCTGATGCAAAATCCCACTTATGGTGATGATATCTCCTTTTGTGACTCTTATCCTGAACTCACTGGAGAAGATATTTATTCTCTCAACCCAGAAAATGAATCCTTGGATTCAGACAGTAGTCAGGATTTGGTTGGTGGCGCTGTTCCAATTCAAGCTTCTTCTGAAAACTTTACAGAAACTACTGATTTATTTAGATACAACCCACTGACAGAACCAGTGCGAACTCAGGATGCACTAATTACTAGAAGCCAGCTAGGTCAAACGAATGGAGATATCATTAACCGAACCACTCAAATTCAGACATCCCTCCAGGTAAGGCAATGACTGATTTTACTGTGGACAAAACATTGACTTTTGGAAGACCATAGGGAATGAATTCTGTTCCTACCACAATATGTGAGGGAACCTGATAAGAAGGTTTGCCATCTTTCATAACTTCTTACGTGTTAAAGAAGAATATATACTTTTAGGTTTTTTTTAAATTCATCTTTATTGTCTAAAGTAGTACAGATGTCTCTCCCTGCCACCCCACATTGACCTCTTCACCTTGTTCCTGCCTCTCCCCAGATCTTCCCCACATTATTGTCTGTCCATGGGCTATGCATATATGCATAAAAGTTCATTGGATAATCTCTTCCAGCCCTCCCCACTTCCATCTCAAATACCTCATTCTGTGGCATACTTCACTGTCTCTGGATGTTTTTCATTTATCAGTTTATCGTGTTCATTAGATTCCACATATGAGTGAGATCATGTGATTCTTGTCTTTTTCTGACTGGCTTATTTCACTTAGCATAATATTCTCCATGCCCCTCCATGCTATCTCAAATGGTAAGAGATCCTTCTTCTTCTTCTTCTCCTCCTCCTCCTCCTCCTCCTCCTCCTCCTCCTCCTCCTCCTCCTCCTCCTCCTCCTCCTCCCCTTCTCCTCCTCCTCCTCCTCCTCCTCCTCCTCCTCCTCCTCCTCCTCCTCCTCCTCCTCCTCCTCCTCCTCCTCCTCTTCTTCTTCTTCTTCTTCTTCTTCTTCTTCTTCTTCTTCTTCTTCTTCTTCTTCTTCTTCTTCTTCTTCAGCTGTATAGTATTCCATTTGTGTAAATGTATGACAGTTGTGTGTGTTTTTTAGCACTGCTATGAATATAAGGGTGCATATATTCTTTCTGATTGGTGCTTCTAGCTTCTTAGGATATATTCTTAGAAGTGGGACCTCTAGGTCAAATGGCAGTTCCATTTTTTAAAAATTTTTAAGGAAACTCCACACTGTTTTCCATAGTGGCTGCACAGTCTGCATTCCCATCAGCAGTGTACTAAAGTCCCTTTTTTCCTACATCTTCGCCAACATTTCTTGTTTGTTGATTTATTGATTGTAGCCATTCTGGCAGCCTTGAGGTGGTACCGCATTGTGATTTTAATTTGCATCTAATAATTAGTGCTGTAAAAAATTTTTTAAATGCATACCTCTGTAGTTGGGAAAGACTTTTACTGACCTTATTCTCTTGAGCCATCCCTAATTTTTATAACTTTCATGATAGAGCGCCGACCTGTAGACCAAAGGGTCTGGGATTTGATTCTGGTCAAACGCACATACCTCGGTTGCAGGCTCCTCCCAGGCCTGGGCCCTGTTGGGACTCGCGCAGGAGGCAAACAATTGATGTGTTTCTCTCACATTGATGTTTCTCTCTGTCTTTTCTTGTCTCTTCTTCTCTCCCTAAAATCATTGGAAAAATATCCTCGGGTGAGGATTAACAATAACAACAAAAAAAGAGTTAGCTTAGCTGAGGGTAGGTCTCAAGGATGGCTTGTGGCCCACAAACCTTCGGGGCTGAGGACTCCCAGCAGTCCAGAGCAGGTAACTGACCTTACAGCAGATTAGAGATGCATGGAGAGGATTGCACCCTCTTTAAAACTAATCTCACTATCCCAATGGGAGGCCTTGGCTGGTATTCCAAAATAAAAGTCACAGAACTCTTAGAGTTTCATGAGTTCTATTTTCAGTACAAGATGTTGAAGTTTGTTTGTTTTTTTATCAATCCAATTGGCATTGATAACAAACTTGCTTGTGTTCCCTTCACAAATATCTATTACATCTTCCCATACATCATTAGAGGAAAGTCTGAGTAACTAAAATGATTTTGCTACTGGTATTTCAGGTTATTGTCAGTAAATAGAATTACCACTCATCTTAATTTTATAGCTTGTCCTCAGTTTTGTGATGTAAATACTAAGGAATGAAACATCTTGATACCAAGTTATGTAAAAAACAACTCATTCTCTACCTTTTTCTGTTTATGTTGTTGGTGAGGTGGACATAGGGTTGGTAGGTATTATTATCAAAGTTATATTAATGTAAAATTTTAGAAATGTAGTTTAGTTTATAAGTGAATATAATGATATTAATTCCTTTTCGAAGAGTGTTCTCAAGGTGATTATGATCTGCATAAAGTTATTTTCAACACAAATTATTATGGAAAGTTATAATTACACATAAAATGAATGAGGAAGTGTTACATTCAAGTTGCACAATGTAATTTGTTAATGAAAGGTTTTTATTAGCTTTACAAGGATGTGTTATAATTATTACATAATTTTAGTAAATCTAAATAAGACATTCTGAATTCAAAAAATGAATCCTTTTCATTTTTATTCTAAAATTAAAAATAGCAAATAATATATTTTTTAAAATATTTTTATTGATTTCAGAAAGAAAGGCAGAGAAAGATAGAAACATCAGTGATGAGAGAGAATCATTGATTGGCTGTCTCCTGCACGCCCTTACTGGGGATTGAGCCCGAAACTGGGGCATGTGCCTTGACTGGAATCTAACCTCCAACCCTTTAGTCTGCAGACCAATGCTCTATCCACTGAGTCAAACTAACTAGGGTGAAGAATAGCTAATAATATTTTGAGCCTATTCTAAAAGATAACATTTTCCAGATTCTGAAAAGTACTTCTTCTTGGGATGCATTTACTTAATGTGGAAAACGTGGTGAAAGAAGCTTAATCTTCAAAATAAAATAGGAGATAGGGCATCTGTGTCTCTTTGGGAAATTGATCCTTTTTATTTCAAGGGTCAGCGACATATTTAACTGGAATACAATCCATTAGATTTCAAAAAGCAATTCAGACTTCTCTCGATTGGCTAATTTTTTAAGATAGAGAATATACTTATTTAAAAATTTGATTTCAGCAGCTTACTATTATGAACCATGTATAGGACTTTTAGTTTCTCGAGGTAATCTTTAGTCAGCTGGGCTCCTTGGCATGGGCTCATTCATAATTCAGGAAAACACTGGATTTCCATTTAGGAGATGTGTAAGGGCAAAAATAGCCATAACAGACCTTTTTTTTTTTTTTTAAGTGATTAAAAATTTATTTTATTTTATTTCAAATAAAACTTTAAATTCCTCCCTAGGCATTCACTTATATTTTCAGTTTGTTAATATCTATTCACTCTTTTTTCAAGATTTATTGAGATACAGTTGACATATAACATTGTATAAGTTAAAGATGTACAATATGATTTGCTACACGTGTATATAAAGACAGCATGTTTGTCTTTATATGCTGTAAAGTTCAGATTTCTAATACATGAAGCATTTGTTTCCAAATACAATGCTTTCTTATGGATGGTTTAATACCACCCAGAATCTGGTGATGAGAGTTATGGTTCAGAATAAAGCCAACAGGTGTCAGAGCCTTCCTAGGTCTGTATGATTTAATTTTTCTCCCTCCCCAGACCTAAGATATTTGGGACATCATTTACTTTGATGTTTAGGAGGAGGCCAGCCTGTTTACTTATAAGAAAAGCTTTTATGGTGATGTGTTGTTTTTTTTAACCAACATTTTAAGTATCAACATAAAACAATGGGAGGAATGGTAAGAAAGATATGAAATGGCTTGGATTCTAGTTTTTTAACCTGTTAAAATCTCTATATCCTTATTTGCAAAATGAATATAATGTGACTCCCACAATAATGTTAATGTGGTTACTATTATATCTATTGATTGACATATTTGACTAAACTATCTCTGATTATCAAGAGTATTTCAGAAGTTTCTATTTTCAGATAATCTCCTTAGGCCTCGGGAAGAATTTTTTTCATAAATGTATCCAGTATGTCACTAGGGCCAAATTAGTAGTCAAGTTAATGAAGAATCAGTGCATAAAATGAAGATTTTACGTATATACAGTAATGTCCAGTTGGCCAGTGCCTTGTCCCTCTTGTGATAAGGACAAATCTAAGGGATCTACTTTCCAGAGTACATCGGCCCTATGAAGAGTGTGAGTATACCCAGGAGAGCATTATAAGGGGAATTTCATTCCCAAACTATTTCTAAATTTTCTCCACTAGTTTAGTATAAGTTTTAAATGCAAAGATGAAAAATGGTACTGTTCATTAATCATCTTTGCTCTTTTAAATAAGGGTCAAAAGGCTCCTAAGATCTTTCTACTTTAAAGGAGTACAACACAGAAATAGGTTTTCTATGTTGAAATGAGTTTGTAATCAGCATTGTTTGCTAATACACTTTGTTTGCTATGATTTGCATCAAGCATGTCAAACTCAAAGGCTAACATGGGCCAAATAAACAAGGTTTAAGTTTATGTGCGCTGCAAAAAAACCACAAAAGCTTTTATTTTCATAAAAACGTAGGTTTATTTCCATAGAGACATGCCAAAAACAAAAGACTGGAATAAACGAGTCGTTGTTAACAAAAAGTAATAAAACATTTTAATAAAAATTAATATTTTTTTCTTGAACATTAACTTACCAGACACTGAATAACTGCACAAATAAGCGTAACACAAATAAACCTATTTTTCTTGTTCTCTTAAATCAAAATATTTCCTGTTGCACACACTAAACAAGTCAATATAAGACTGATGACATGACAATCAACTGCTAAAACATTCACTGCTAGCATTAGAGGAGAGAGATGGTATGCCTGTGCATAAGGTGTGTAAGGAAATGAATGCAACACAATTACAGTAATCCGTCATTAGCGAACATTGTAATTCATTATTAATAACTAGTAGCCCTGCACACAAATCCATGCACCAATAGCTCTGTATGGGGCCTGGCCACTCCAAGCCTGCTGCCCAGAGGCTCTTCGTCACCCGGAGGCCCATCTGCAGCTGGGCACGGAACGCTTGCCTCATTGCGACGCTTACAAAGCAAGCATTCCACTAGGCTGCTCATGCAGCCTGCTCTCAACGACTGCCTCCCCCGCCCCCGCCCTTGCCCCAGGGACTGGGGGACTCCAATGGAGCTGAGAGGACTGGGCGCCGCCATCTTGTGGCTATGTGCACCACCATCTTTGTGACAGAGTGACAGTTAATTTGCATATTACCATTTTATTAGGTAAGATATGTATAACAGGATATTATAAAAATTAAGTTACAAAATTTTCATTAAAATATTTCTCACATACCGTTATATTGGCTGGACCGCAAAAATATTTATGCATACAGCCTGCGGGCCGTGAGTTTGACATGCTTGGGTTACATTACCCTTTTTTAAGTACTGTTTGCAAATATTGAGTGACTGAGTTGTTATGGAATCTTCATTTTATTCTCAAAGTACATGGGTACTGGATATATGAACACCATTACATGAGCTTCTTGTCTGTATGTGATTAAATTCATGTGTATTACTAGTAAAAGTTTTATATATAGTTTTTTTTTTGTTTTCTTTTTTACAGTTATAGTTTCCCAGTTTTAATTTGTAAGGTATGGTTTTTAAAGCTCTCCTTCTGTTGCTGTTTTAGGGAGCTTTTTAGGACTCCATTCTTCCTGGATTAGAGGTGCACGTATGGAACCCAAGGGGCACACACGCCTCCACTTACACTTATGGACTGAGCAGTCTGGACCTTTCATGGCTCCTGGATGGAAATTTAAATCTGAATCAAACTGATGACTTTTTAAGCCTTTCAACCAGTTGCTTCTGAGCCAGACCAGCTGTAAGCTGAAACCTCAAGGAAGAACAGGACAAGACTGCAGGCACTCATGATGCTTTGTATCTTTCCTAAACAAGAAGTTTCTATGCTACAAGTATGACTTCAAGGACTGATGCACTGAGTTGGCAGCCAGGAAGGTTATGGACCAATAACAAGAACCAGAAATGCATTTTGGTTCGTGTGTATTTTCATGGTGAATGTGATTTCACAAGACTCAAGATCCAAAGTATAAGTTTTCATCTATATTTTCTTTTAAGATAATTTTACATAGTCAATTATCCTACTAAAAGTCAATGTTAGATTAGTTACCTTAGTTTTTATGTAGAATGGGTTAAAAATGAATGTTTCTATTTGAGGAAAGTCACTTTTTGGTCATCTAAACTAATTGACTTAGAAGGCTAGAATTGACTTCATTCTGCCTGCCTAAATATTGGGTTTATTAGTTGAAGTAAATTGACCTAACTAGAAATTAGAGGAAAAGAAGTCTTTTAAAGAATCAACATTTCTAACCTCAGCCAGCAGCTCACAAACACCTACCTTCTGGAGCTAGTCATGAGAGGACTGTGTCAGGGAACAAGGTGGAGAAAGGCCACCCATCACCCTGAGTCCAAAACCACTGAACACACACATTCTAGAGACTTGCATACAAAGATGAGCATATTTCTATGGAAATCAGTTGGTATGGCAGCATCTGTTACTCTGTCCCTGTGACAGAAGATGCAGAATTTCTCTTTTATAGAAAAGTATTTATTAAGAAAATGATCTTTTTCTTTTTCTTTTAATCACCCACAAACCTGTTCTCTGTATCTATGAGTTTTTTGTTTTGTTTTGTTGTGGTGGTGTTTTGCCTTTCATACTAAGGAACTTAGAAATGACAACATATATGGTCCCTTTACTACTGAAACATATCACCAAGTGAACAATCTTATGAGACTATACTACATATTATAACCAGGAGAAAAAGCAGTTTGTCAGCGGCCTCTGAGTGAACAGCCTGTAACTACTGCATTGTAGTTTAACCAGTATTACAGTTTCCCTCTGATCTCATCAGCTTAGTTAGGACAATAATGTCCCATCTTGGCCAAACAATTCTGATTTAAGTGTGGAGCTTCTGTTCAGGTGCTTACCCCAGCGCTTCTCACATTGGAATTTACACACTAGATAAGGTAAGAGAGAAATAAATGCAGATCAGACATAAACTGGGGATGGCTCATTTCTCTGCATCTTTTATGGCCCAGAAAAAAGTTAATTGAACAGGATTTGTTTTTTCTTTCTTAAACCTATATGATTAGATCTGGCCTTTTAACTGATTCCATTAGCTTTGTCCCATTTGTACTTTTTTTTTAAAAAAGAAAGACCTTTGAACATCAGTATGTTAGAATGTACTAAAATATTTTGTTTCAGAATTATCCCATCCAAATCAGTGAATTTTGCCTAAACTAAACATTTTAAAAACTTAGACATTATTGTCTCATTTATTACCTCAGACATTTCTCTCTTTGTAAGAGATTAGTAAAACCTAATGATCCCCTTTTCTGTGGCTAGAACAGTTTCTCTATCCATAGTTTCAGGCTCTGATATGTGCATGTTAGCTTGCCTGGGTTTGTCCTTCTCATGACTTCAGTTCATTTAACTGAAATATGAAATTAGAGTGTCTCATGATAACTCACAATTTTGTTTGAGCACCCAGTCATAATCGATTCATTTTTACTTCTTCTTGTTTGTGTGTTGTATTTTTTGTTTTGTTTTGTTTAACCATAAACCAATAGTTCTTAAACTTTGGAACTCACCAACTCTTATGAGAATTGTCTTTAGGAAACTCAGGTGAAATATTTAGGAATTGATCACAAGATGTCTATAAAAATGTTGTTTAAATTCATATATTTGTTCCATTGTATGCAATTTGATCATTTTTGTTATGAAAGAGGGATGATCAAGTAAGCCAAGGTTGTGCTCATTTTTGTAAGCTGAATATATTTTCCATATGAGCCCTCATTAACTTTAAAGACAAACACTCGCTGGAGAAAGCTAGATTGATGAGAGTGAGACTGGCCAAAAAATCCTGAAACATCACTTTTTATCAGTAGATAAATATTTAGAGTCAAAAGTCAATTTAATTTGACACTGCATTTGAAAAATCCTGCATTATTTTTATTAATATGAAGACATTTTACCCCACTACTATAGACACATACAGTGTTATATTCTACATTCTTTGTAAACATTTGAAGAAAATCAACTTTGCATTTCATATTGTTGGATACCCTCTATCACTCAAATAAACTCAACTGCTAGAGTGCTGAAGCTGGGAGCTCATTAAGTAATAACATAGCTGGGAATGCGTAATTGTTACTTTTAATGTTGCAAAGAGTCATCTACAAAGAATGAGATGAGGATTTGAAAGACAATATAAAGGCATGAGTTTTCTAATTTTATGTATACAGAATATATATTTTAAATATAAATTTTTCTACTTTAGATAAAGTTAATGTTGCTGTCACCTAGGTTAAGCACAACTTACTGTCTATGCTAGTAAAAATATAAACAAAAAAAAAGTAAAAAATATACCATTGCCTTAAGGTAGTCAGCTTGATTCAATTTAGATTTCATTATTATTATTATTTTTTACATACTGGAATTTTCTTATATGAATAGTTTTGTAATACCTTTTTTATTTGTGAATAAAATTGTTACCTGGTATTCTTATTTGCATATCTAGAAGAAAGTGATTGATGGTGTAAATGTACACCGTATTGCTGTCCCATGTGAGAGTCTCACTATGTTCTGATCTTTCCAATATAACCCTTTTGGCCCCTCAAACTTTGAGGAAGATTTGAAATCCTTACTAGTATCGATAACTGCCTATATTTCTCAGGCATTTTCAAGCTACTGAAAATGCTTTGAGTTATTTGAGAATTTTTGGTATCAAGATTTTATTATCTCTTTCTTCCCCTTCATTTTATGACACAAAGAAGGAAGAACCTATGGAAGAAGTTTTATATACTGGTATTAATTCTTCATAGTCAGCAATAGGCTTTTCTCCTACATAGGCATGGACTATAAAAAGATAACTCTACAGAGAAACACTGGTCACTGAAAGAGTTTCCTTTTTCTTCCTAGCTTCTTACCTTCCTTTCGCAATTCCTTTATTTCTTCTTCCCTTGCTTCCCCTCAGTAACCTATCTATACTAATAAAAGTAATATGCTTATAATAAGTAATAAGAGGAGACCTTCTGGACAAAGCTGGAGGGTTGGCCGGCCTGTAAACCAACCCCAAATGGCCCTCAGCCCCTCGCCCAGGCTGGCCACGCCCTCCAACAGAGACCCTCACCCCAATGGGGGCATGGCCAGCTGCAAACGTCCCTCGCCCAAACCAGCCCTGCCCTTCATGGGGACCCACACTCTGATTTGCTACTCCCTCAGGCAGACCAGCCAGCCCCACCCATGCACCAGGCCTTTATTTATACTAATAAAAGGGTAATATGCTAATTAGACTAGGAGACTGGACATCTTCCTACTGTCCGACTTGCTTCCGGACAAAGCCACAGTGGTAGGAGCTGAGGCAGAGGTGGTTAGGGGTGATCAGGCCATCATAGGAGAGGGCAGTTGGGGGCCATTAAGCTGGCAAGGGAGTGATTAGGTGCTGATCCAGCCAGTAGGCAGGCAAGTGGTTAGGAGCCAGCGGACCTGAATTGTGAGAGGAATGTCTGACTGCCGGTTTAGGACCCAACCGGCAGTCAGACATCCCCCAAGGAGTCCCAGAATGGAGAGGGTGTAGGCTGGGCTGAAGGACCCTCCCCCAGTGCATGAATTTCCTGCACCAGGCCTCTAGTTTTATATAATAAAAGCCTAATATGCTAATTGTTCGGTCATCTAGTGACTGGTCTACTGCTCAACCAAAGAGTAATATGCTAATGATATGCTAAGGCCGCTCAACTGCTTGCTATGACATATACTGACCACCAGGGGGCAGACAGTCAACCTGCCAACCAGTTGCTTTGATGTGCACTGACAACCATGGGACAGATGCTCTGACCGGTAGGTTACTTACTGTTGGGGTCCAGCCAATTGGGACTGAGCAAGATAGGCCAGACATACCCTGGAACCCTCCCACAGTTCCTCCCTGGCTCCAATCATGCACTGTGGGGTCCCTTAGCCTGGCCTGCACCCTCTCAAAATCTGTGACCCTTGGGGGGATGTTGGAGAGTGAGTTTTGGCCTGATCCTGCAGGCCACTCCCCTCAGGAGAGTGCCAAACAGAGAGCTCAAGGCTGGTGAGCGGTGCTGTAGCAGCATGAGCCTCTCCCCATTGGGGCTGACTGGGTGCAAGCTTGTAGCAGGCACAGTGGGGCCTGGATAAGCACGAGTGGCAGGTAGGAGATGCAGGCAGCACTGGACTACGGGTTTCCACCTGATCCCCACAGGCCACCCAGAGGGTCCCCCCCCATGCATGAATTTGTGCACCAGACATCTAGTATTATTAGATTTTAAAAAGGGGCTTTAAACGTCCTGGGGGGAAAGGGGCTATTTTAAAGCAACATATTCTCTCAGCTCATTAGTCTGTGGTGTTAAAGGACACTGGCTTTCACAAGGGAAGTACTTTCGTTTCTTTCCCTTTCCATACCATGACCCATGAGCCTCTTGGCTTATGTAGATTGGTGTCTATGTAGGCTGACTGGGAAAAGTAACTCAAGCTTATGAGTTTCTAACAGGAGATCTAAAGTATTCTATAGTTAAATAAATGACATTTTCATCATTACCACTATTATTAAGATCTCTTTGCTATTAGCTATTTATCCCGAATTTGTCTGTTTGTCCCATTTT